CACTCTGCATTAAGTTTTGTTCATTATGACCTAAAACGCATTATTAGTTGTAATAACGAAAATCACACATAAGACAGTCATATGTAAAAGTTTGGAGATGCCTGAGCAAATTATTATATAATTACTATACAAAGTTTTAACCTATTGAGAAAAGATCAAACAAACAAACAAACAAAAAAATAAAATAAAATATGTCATTTGTCATAACGTTTTATGTTTTAGGTTTAATTTTTATTTTATTTTTTTGTTTTGAAATTAAGCAAATAAACAGTAATTGTGCATTAAAGGTGCAGGTGTGTGTTCTCTGTAGAAGATGTGTTCTTTTAAAATTACTTAGAAAATCAATAAAACATGTCTTTCGACCAGGGGCGCCCAAACTTTGCAACCAATTGTACTTTGTTATGCAAATTATTGGGCGTGAATTATCACCTAAATTCACATCATATTAATGGTTAATTTTGTTCCTTTTGGCTCAAAGCAGAGTGAGGCGATTTTTGGAGTTCATTATTTTGGAGCTAGTAAGTGTTTAATAATCACTAGTACATCAAAATGTGTTCCATATTCTAAAGAGCAGCTTATTTTTTTTATTGATTAGAGGCTAAAAAGCACTAACCAAGCTTCAATGAGTCAGTTTGTGTCTCATATTCTAAAGCAAATGTAATTTCATAGATTTTTGGTAACCAAAAAGTATTTACGGTAAATTTCAGCCTATTTTAACAACCAAATTTAAATTAATTAAACATGCTTTTTTTTAAATTAAATAACATAAAATTAAATTATCATTAAAATATGACTCAAATTGACGTTGTTTTAGCTCGTTTTAATTCTTTATTTAATTCTTTTTAGCTGTAATGGATTCAAACTTGAACTACACTGTCAGAAAAAGGGTAGTAAACTGTCACTGGAGCAGTACACCTGTTGTCACTGGGGTCCACAACTGGACCTTAAAACCACTTCTACCATTAAGGGTACATTTATATTGTTTGTACCTTGATGAAAGAAAAATGTCCCTGCACAGAACCTTTATTTCTAACAGTGTACAGGCAAAAATATTTGTGAATTTTGGTAAAAAATAATTTATTTTGCATGGAATTAGAGCGTTTACTGTGTGTTATTACATCTAATGAATATATATATATATATATATATATATATATATAATTCCATTATACGTGATTTTCACAAAACAGACTTCCAGTTTTGTACTAAAACAGGTTACAATGAACAATGATTGATACATGGATGTCTAATTTGAGTTTATTAAACACACGAGACCTTAATGAATACCCAAACAGTAGTTCCTTACAATAAACTGCAGTCTTGCTCAAGAGCACAATAAGAGGTTCACAGTCTGTCCTGTATTCAAAACATGTTTACTTTAATATTTATTTTCAGTTCATTGCTGGAGAATACTAAATTAATATTCTAAATGATTTTAAATGGATTGCAATAGTCAGTGAATAAAGACAAACATTCTATAGCAAACTCAGGCTTTTTAATATTCATCAGGCAACTTAAAGTAGATCAACAAATACTGTCATGTATTAGTAACAGTGTTTTTTCTGCAAAAAAAATGCCTTTTTCTACTAGATCATGTATATTTTTCAGTAGATGAGGATGATATGATTATTCTTACAGGAACAGAACACTGAGAACCTGCATTACGCTGCCATCCACATCAAAGAGAAGAAACCAAAAGGTGCGAGAGTGAAGAGAGAGCAGCCTGAAGACATTGTGTACTCTCAAGTGAGAAGCTCCAAAGCTGCTGCTCAGCGCTCACATCGCTAGTTTCCTAAGATGATCATGAGTGAAGATTTGGACCTTTTCATGCCTCAAATGAGCTCCAGTCTTTTATCTGTAACTGTTTATTTCTTGTTAGGTGAGAGTTCTGCTGACTGAAATGAAGTCTTGGTTCTCTGAAGGACGATGTGAGAACTCAGCTTTAGAGTGTGTGATCACTGTGATCAAACAGACTGATGGTGTCTGAAATTCAGCTCCATTCATAGCAGTGTAGCAACATTTTGAGATCGGCCAGCAAACTATGGCTGAAATAATGCTTGACCGATCACAGTAGTGTGCAAAAGTTTGGGCACACCTGGTTAAAAGACATGTATTGTTGATTTTCTTAGTGAACATAAGTTACACTTCCTCTACAGAGAACACACTTCTGCACATATTAATCTGCAACTACTCTTAAAAGTTTTTTCCCCACTTTGTTCAACTCAGCAAATGAATAGGAATTTTAATTAAAGAGGGTTGTTCAAACTTCTGCACATGACTATAAAACTTTGTTAGATATTTAGTTTCAGACAAGTATGACCAATTAGTCAGTTTCTTTAATTGAATAGGGTTTTTTTTTTCTTTACGAGAACTTAAGATTAAACAAAGCATCAAATTTGTTTAATTCTTATCTTTAATGTTCATAACTATAAGAGATCCTGCTGATTTTAGATTGAGAGCCATTGTATTTTCTATAAATAAGACTTTAAAATACAATTATGCCATAAATACCATAAGAACATATACTAACAATTACTGTTATTATTACTTATTAGTTACTATGTGAATGATGTGTAATATTAGTGAAAACCATATGATGTCAATGTGAGAGTAAAAAAGATAAATCATATAATCACTCCTCCTTCTGTAAAAATGTATCATACAATATCTATACATTAATCACAGTTGATCACAGATTATAGCCTCTTTGATATTCATGCCACGTTTTAATTAATTCAACTATGTGCTGTTTTTCTTCAGGACAGATTTCAGCTGTTTCGTTTGGGCATTAAAGGATATTTATAAAACCAGTTCCAAAAGTTTTAGGACAGTAGGTAAAATGCAGAAAACAGAAAGTGGTTTATGAAAGTACTCATGTCAATACTTTGACCTGTATTTGAAAGAAAACAGTATAAAGACCAGTTTTTTTTTATATTTGTTTCTTATCCACTTCATTGTTTTTGTAAATATACAGCCTTTCTGAATGTTTCTATATCCAGTTTTACATAATTGGAAAACTCAATTGCATTTGTAACATGTCCAAAAAAGTTGGGACAGGATCAGTTTAAGACAAGAAACATGATTAAATGTTCAAAAACATTTTTTTATTATTATTATTTGTTTTTTTTTGTTTTTTTTTTTTGTTTTGTTTGTTTGTTTTTGCTGACGTAATCATGCATGGGTACAAAAGAAGCATCGAAGAAAAGTCTAGATCTGTGTGAGTGAGGATAGTCGAGGCTCACCACGTTAATAAAAAATACATCAGTTAAACATTGTAAAAACATTGTTCCTCTGTGAGTGATTGTGAAGATTTAATTTTTAATATCATAAAATTTTATATCATCAAAAGATTCAGAGAATCTGGAAAAATCTCTGTGTGTAAAGGGAAAAGCAAAATACTACAATTGAAGGCCTGTGACCTTTGACCCTTATGACAAGACTGCATTAAACATGTTTCTATGATAACCACAGGGGCTCAGGAATACTTTGACAAACCATTATCAATAAGCACAACCTGTCACTGCATTGACTAATACAAGACCCTATTATTCACAGAGGAAGTCATCTGACAGTAACACACAGAAAAGGCACTGACTTCTCTGAGCTCCTCTGAAACGGACAGATTGTTACCAGTGTAAAGTTGAAAACTCAGTGTCTGTCATAGTGCTAATATTGGGGTATTAGTGAGTAACTTTTTCATCTGTTAAAGCACCATTAATGCTGTCTTAGTTTACAACAATATATGCTGCCTCCTAGACAGCATCTTTGGACATCCATGCTTATTTCACACCTATGTCATGCTTATTTCATGTGTAATCCGAAAGGGGTGCTAGACAGACCTTCCTGCAATCCAGACCTGTGTCCCATTGAAAATATGTGAGGCATAATTAAGCTCAAATTATGATAACAAAGGCCCCGTATGCTTAGACAGCTGAAGACTTGTATAACAGGAGAAAGGCCTAAAATTCCACTTTCAAAACTGGATCAGTTTATGTCTTCAGTCCCCACATGATTATTAGGTGTTGGAAAGGAAAGGTGATGTAACACAGTGGTAAACATGCTACTGTTCCAACTTGTATTGGAATGTGTTGGGAACGAGTGGATATTTACAAGATAAAAGAACAAAAAATCAAGTTCATTAGGTAAAACATAAAATATTGTTTTTTGTACGATTTTAAATTCAATAATTTTCATTAGCATTTCACATGTTGTCCCAAAATTTTGGAATTGGGTTATTGGCACTCTCTATTCAATTTTTCACTTAAAAATAAAATGTAATAAAATATGTAATTAGATTAAATAAATAAAGCTTAGCTTTTCAGATGTATCAAACTACAGTTCTTTGAACATTACTGAACATGCACTTAACACACAGTTTTCCTATTTTTATTCAACATTTTTAAACAAGTGGGCTATAATTTTAAATGCTTTTGTTGAACGAAGACCTGTGATTACCAGTAAGAGGCAGTGTGAGCACTGGCTGTGCTCTGGGTATCTACTGTGGTTTCATCATTTTTTCCTTTCAGAACATAGTGAATATAAGCCTTCTGCCTGATTTCATTTAACTCAGTTTTACAGCAACATTGTCTGTCATACAAGACTTGGTCATTCTAAAATACGTATCTCAGTATCCTAGATATAATTCTGTGTCTACTAAAAAGTTCCTAATAACGACTGAAAGTATTCTCTCCTGTCACTATTGTGGACAATAATATATATATATATATATTTATATATATATATATATATATATATAATTGCTTATTAAACAACAGATCAGGTCTTGAAACCTTTCCAAGGAAATGTAGTGGCTTTCTTACATTCGCCTGTTTTTCTACAGTGGCTATTAAACTTTCAGTCAAAATTATTGCTAATAATACTGACATTGATGGAGCCAATAGGAACATTGTTGTGGCCAAACAGATCAAGTCAAGCAGACAGAAAGAACCATGTGACTTTTACCATCCAATGGGGTTCAGTACAAGACCACAGTAAGCTCATACAGTTTGAAGCTTTACTCAGTTACACTCTTGCCTTCATATTTGCCTTCAAGTTTCAAGTTACAGCTGTTGTTTTTCTGATGATGGATCCAGCTGTGATTATCATCTTACTTCTCTACAAGATGTGTAAGTTTCATAAAGTTACCCATAGAAATTATGGTAACACTTTATATTAAGGGTCGCTAATCAATCATTAAATATATAATAATCCACTATTAGTTTCCCATTATTTAGTTATTAGTTAACTCTTCATTAAGCATTAGCTATTACTTAGTAATTGATTAAGCACTTATCAATTAGTAATTAAGTACACTGTTAGTTGATAAGTTAGTTTGTCGTTAGTTTGTGGCTTACTTACTCATTATCTGTGTGCTAATTGCTGCTTATTACATTGTTAATTAACTAATAAGTGTTTTTCTTCATATAAAGAAGTAATGTGATAACTTACTAGCACTTATGTGTTAATCCTGCTAATTATCTGTTAATTAACTTTCCATCACCTCCATATATTCATTTGCTTCACTTTTCTCACTTTGGTTCTTGTTCATTAAAGATGCTTATGGTCACATCTGACCGTAAGATGAGCGCACACAAATTCATGGACCGTTTTGTTATTGATCACATTCATCTTGGCATATCTGTACTCATATCCGGTAGGAGTGCATGCAAATTTGGGCATAAATGCTGGATATGTGGCTAATTAACCAAAACTATTATCAACATAATCTGTAATTGCAAAAATAAGAAAAACAATAGAAAATTTCAATAATACTAATTTGTGTGCATGACAGTCCAGTACAAAAGTGGATGTACTTACTTTACATGCACATTGATATAAACAAGTGCTGCAACTATTTCATGTTCCATTACATTGTGCTTTTGTTGTCATACACTGCAATAATACAGCGTTTATTTTAGGGAATTAATTACACTAAACAATCACTCTATTATGCTAACAACACTGAGTGTTTAGTTTTATTTCACATTTTATTTTTTCCAGTTGTTTTCATTTTAATACTATTAAGTTTGGTCAGCAGGGGAGGAGTCCACTCACTGCTGGACATCAAACTCCACCCACGAGCACGGCCATTAGTTTCCATGCCAAACACTGCCGTTTTATTGGCTGGCTACTGAAACATCTGCATGAATTAGGGTGTGCTTCATGTAAATGATATGTAAATGAGGTGCTGGTAGGCTGGTTTCATGCACTGAAGCTGATTTATCATTCATGCTCAAATCTCCACTTGTTTCCACATCGTACAAAATTGTTATGAATCAGACGCAGAGCAGTTCATACCTTATAAAAGTCTTTTTTTTACGTAACTTTGATGATTAATGGCCATTAGATCTTTACATTTTGACCATTAATTACTTCTTAAATTCCACTTAATCAACCATTCATTGCTTCTTAAATTCCTATTACTTAATCATTAATTACTTCTTAAATTCCTCTTACTTAACCATTAATTACTGCTTTTGTGTCCCTCCAAGTAGTGACAACACAAAATCAGTAATTAATGGTTAAGTAAGAGGAATTTAAGAAGTAATTAATGGTCAAAATGTAAAGATCTAATGGGCATTTTGTCATGATAGTGCACAAAAACTAACATATGTCTGTTGTAGCTCAGTATTTGAGCATTATAGTTCACTGCTAATGCTTAATCCAGACGTAATCGCGACTCTTTGTGAAAAGGGCCCATTGCCATTAGATCTTTACATTTTGACCATTAATTACTTCTCAAATTTCTCTTACTTAACCATTAATTACTGCTTTTGTGTCCCTCCAAGTAAAGTGACAACACAAAATCAGTAATTAATGGTTAAGTAAGGAATTTAAGAAGTAATTAATGGTCAAAATGTAAAGATCTAATGGCCATGGGCCCTTTTCACAAAGAGTCACGATTATGTCCGGATTAAGCATTAGCAGTGAACTATAATGCTCAAAAACTGAGCTACAACAGACATATGTTAGTTTTCGTGCACTATCATGACAAAAAGTGAGAACAGGAAGTGAATGGAAGCACTGATTTAACTTTAAACACAGCTGAAATGCTTTGTGTGGTGTAGCTGCTCACATCAAGCAGTGTCTCTGTAGTTGTACAACATGCCAGCAATTTCTGTAATATTTTTGTTTTCAAAAGAAACTGAAGTTCTTCTGTGTAGTATGAATTTGGTAGACGTTGTTTAGCTGTAGCTAGCTAGCAACGCTAGAAGCCATTTCTAACTGTAGCTGTATTTCCAAAATAAGGAAGCTAGTTAGCTTTCATCAGCTGCTGCCACCAGCCGGCTAACGTGGAGCAGGTTCTGTGACACATTTAGCTACATGATGGCAGTGACTTCTGACATAAACACAAACAAAAACTTTTATATGTAAAATCTATTTTACAGACCTCGTTTAAACTGTATTAGCTTACGGTAGGCTAGCAGGCTACAGTGGCTAATTAGCTAGCCTACCGTTAGCAGTTTGAAGAGCACCAGCTTCGTATGAGTAGCAAACTTTAAAGCTAAGTTAGCTCTAACATTAGCTATGTTAGCGATCTGCCAAACAGCATTATTCTTATAGTTTCATGGTAATTTTTGAAGCAGCACTTCAGAAAACATCCACCTTTCACTGCTCAGTCAAAAACGAGACTCGTAGCTGAAAATAACATCTGAAAAAGCTGCTTCATGTTAGCCGGGCTAGTTTGGTTAGCAGTAGCTTCTAGCCAGTATAGTTAGCTTAATATAAACACAGTCTATAACATTCATGCTACATATAAAAGCTCTTCTTTCTTTTGAAATCAGAATATTACCGAATCGCTGACGTGTTGTACAAAGACACAGAGGCTGCTTGATGTGATACAGCTGCAGCAGAACTGCAGTAAAAACAACATACAGCATCTCAGCTCTGTTTACAGTTAAAGCAGAGCTTCCGTCCACTTACTTTCACTGTTTGACACAACCGTGCAGGAAAACTAAAATACAGCTGTTGTAGCTCAGTGTTTGAGCGTTACAGTTCACTAGTAAACATTCTGACATCGCCTCTGCAGTAGCTATATGGAAAGGAAGTGAGTTTTACTCTGCTAATGCTTAAACCGGAAGTAATCACGAATCTTGTGAAAAGGGCCCATTAATCATCAAAGTTACATAAAAAAGAACACCTTTTTTTTGCCTTTTATAAGGTATGAACTGCTCTGCGTCTGATTCATAACAATTTTGTACGATGTGGAAACAAGTGGAGATTTGAGCATAAATGATAAATCAGCTTCAGTGCATGAAACCAGCCTACCAGCACCTCATTTACATATCATTTACATGAAGCACACCCTAATTCATGCAGATGTTTCAGTAGCCAGCCAATAAAACGGCAGTGTCTGGCATGGAAGCTAATGGCCGAGCTCGTGGGTGGAGTTTGATGTCCAGCAGTGAGTGCACTCCTCCCCTGCTGACCGAACTTAATAGTATTAAAATGAAAACAACTGGAAAAAATAAAATGTAAAATAAAACAAAATACTCAGTGTTGTTATCATAGTAGAGTGACTGTTTAGTGTAATTAATTCCCTAAAATAAATGCTGTATTATTGCAGTGTATGACCGAAGCTGTGTTTGTGAGTCAGTAGTATGAAACAAAAGCACAGTGTAATGTGTCTTTAAATGGAACATGAAATAGTTGCAGCACTTGTTTATATCAATGTGCATGTAAAGTAAGTACATCCACTTTTGTACTGGACTGTCATGCACACAAATTAGTATTATTGAAATTTTCTATTGTTGTTCTTATTTTTGCAGTTACAGATTATGTTGATAATAGTTTTGGTTAATTAGCCACATATCCAGCATTTATGCCCAAATTTACATGCACTCCTACCAGATATGAGTACAGATATGCCAAGATGAACGTGATGAATAACAAAACCGGCCATGAATTTGTGTGCGCTCATCTTACGGTCAGATGTGACCATAAGCATCTTTAATGAACAAGAACCAAAGTGAGAAAAGTGATGCAACTGAATATATGGAGGTGATGGAAAGTTAATTAACAGATAATTAGCGGGATTAACATATAAGTGCTAGTAAGTTGTCACGTTACTTCTTTATATGAAGAAAAATACTTATTAGTTAATTAACAATGTAATAAGCAGCAATTAGCACACAGATAATGAGTAAGTAAGCCACAAACTAACGACAAACTAACTTATCAACTAACAGTGTACTTAATTACTAATTGATAAGTGCTTAATCAATTACTAAGTAATAGCTAATGCTTAATGAAGAGTTAACTAATAACTAAATAATGGGAAAGTAATAGTTGATTATTATATATTTAATGATTGATTAGCGACCCTTAATGTAGTGTTACCAAAATTCTTTTTATATTTAGTCTTGTCAATTACGCTTGATTTGAGTTTCATCATTTTTTTCTTATTGACTGAACTTTGCTTGAATATATTGAACTTTGTTTTACAGATTCTGCTCAAGCTGTGAGAAATTCTGAGCTGTTGGTCGTCTCAGCTGAGCCCGGTAAAACGGTCACTCTCAACTGCACACCTGTAGATGACTCAAATGCAAATATTAGGATGTGGTACAAACAAAGGCTGCGGCATGCTCCAGTGGAAGTGGGATCACAGTTTAAAGATAAGAAATCAAGGATTTCAGCTTCTTTCGACCAATCAAGATTTAAAATGAACAGAATTGCGAGTGGCACTTCTGTCAGTATTGAACGTGTCACTAAAGAAGATGAAGGAGTGTACTTCTGTGCAACGCCTGGAGAGACAACAATTAACTTTTCTAATGCTACATTCTTATCTGTCACAGGTAATATAAATAATTTATTGCTTTCAGTGTTCTTAACATGTAAGATCTATTTATTTCTTAAAATCAATTATGTGAAGCCATTCTGAAATGTGTTGTTACTGCTGACCTTAATAATATCAATTCTAGTGCAAAAGTGATGCTTAGTTTTTAATACCCATTAGATGTCACTGTCACACTTTAGATGCATAATGGACACAGTGCCATTTCACTGTTTTACTTTTATTATAATGTCATCATACTGATATATCAGTGTTATTCTACCACTGTATATATTACATTTTCCAGGGCAGTCAATCATATCAGTGCTCCAAACTACAGTACAGGGGTCAGTTTCTCCCGGAGAGTCGGTCACTGGGAATGGAACAGCAGTAGAACTGAGTAAATTTTGCATTGTACAACTAGTCACTTGTGTATATATGTTAATATGTTATCTGTTTATTTACTGTTGCCATCAATTAGAACATTTCAATGTAACTCAGTTTTTGAGATGTTAACAAAGTCAATCAGAGTGGATTGATATAAAATGGTAAATTGTAAAGAAAAGTGCTGACTCAGAATTCTTTGCAGTGGTGATAATAAGAACCAGGGGTTGTGAGAGCTGTGCAAAATTTAATTCAAAAACATATATTTTTGGGTGGGGTGGGGGTTGTGCATCTTTTCTTATAACACCCTGCAAGTATTTCTCTAGCATTACGTGGATTCACTCAAAAACAATGTTTAAATACAAATAAATAGATAAATAAAAACAAAAACAACAACAAAACACAAAAACTAATTCATGTTTTCTGTGTTTTAGAGAAGTTAAAGGCTTCAGATTTCTGGTTCCTTTCACCACCACTATGAACAACTCTGACTCAGTATTGTTTCTCAACAATGCACCATTTCACAGCAAACTACTTTGTATTGTCTTGTTTAATTATCCAAAAAAACTGGGAAAAAAATATGGCATTCTTCTTTATTTGGACAAAAACCAGTTTGCTAAACAGTAATAAAATGAACGTGATATAAAAGTCCAGCTTAACAAGATTAGATGGCGAATGGATTTTGAGGCTTGAACTTTGTATTCCTGTATTCAGTATGTTTATAATTCCTGTCTTACAGAAGCTCCTGTAGATCCCGTTGATCCTGTAGGTCCTGTAGGTCCTGTAGATCCTGTAGATCCTGTAATGCTGACTCTGGCAGTTTTCTCAGCAGTGTGTGTGGCTGTAATCTGCGCTGAAGCCATTTTAATTCACAAACTGAGGAAATCTAAACACTGCGCTGGTGGTAAGTGTTCATTATGAGATGAAGCTGAATATTTTGATAGAAAGAAAATAGAAAATGGTGATAATACTAATAAGTTTAGCCTCATTAAACTGTATCTGGAAGTGATTGTGAAGTTTTATCTCCTCTACAGAGAAAGTTCAGGAGGGGGCTGTGAATGAGAGGACCACCAGACAGGTACTCTTTATGCACTTATTCTTTAAACTACATTTTCCACTAAAGATTTGGTGGTTCGAATTTCAGCCAGAGACAAATCTGTTTTTTTCTGGTTTCTGATTCACAACTGAACATGCAAATTACTCTGTAGAGCTCTTTTTTAGTTCATGTACATAATAAAATGTACAGATAACTCCATTCAGTCATCAGTTAAGAAAAAGGAGAAGAGAAACATAAAACATCAATATAAAGAAAATTCTTTGTTTAATAATCTGTATTCCAACCTACAGTACATACAGATAATTATAATTTTTAGATCCATTTACAATATAAATTTATCATTTTGCTCATAATCTCAGAGCAGCACAGCATCATCAGCAGAGCAGAGCCTTTAACTGTCGGCAAAACTTTATTTTAATATATACAAATGCCGGGTTTATTAAATTCTTGTTCTTTGTTCAGTTAAACACTTCTAAATAGTTTATTCACTCTGCATTAAGTTTTGTTCATTATGACCTAAAATGCATTATTAGTTGTAATAATGAAAAAAAAATCACACATAATAGAGTCATATGTAAATGTTTGGAGACCCCTGAGCAAATTATTATATAATTATTATACAAAGATTTTGTTCATTTTCTTTTAACCTATTGAGAAAAAAACAAATGATCAAACAAACAAACAAACAAAAAAATTAAAACATATAATTTGTCATAACGTTTTATGTTTTAGGTTTGATTTTAATTTTGAGTTCATTATTTTGGAGCTAGTAAGTGTTTAATTATCACTAATACATCCATATTCCATATTCTAAAGAGCAGCTTACTTTTTGTTGATTAGAGGCTAAGAAGCACTAACCAAGCTGCAATGAGTCGGTTTGTGTCTCATATTCTAAAGCAAATGTAATTTCATAGATTTTTGGTAACCAAAAAATATTTATTTAATTTAATTAAATATCATAAAATTAAAATATCTATCTATCTATATATATATATATATATATAATATATATATTTATGACTCAAATTGACTTATTGAAAACTTCTTTAGGTTGTTTTAGCTCTTTTTAATGCTTTATTGAACTCTTTTTAGCTGTAATGGATTCAAGCTTGAACTATACTGTCAGAAAAAAAGGTAGTAAACTGTCACTGGAGCAGTATGCCTCTTCTCACTGGGGTGGTACTTTCAGTACCTTTAGCCAGGGAACACATTGTATTGACTCCACACATCCCGTCTCGTCTCCAGACCTTTATTTTTACTGTTCTGTTTTAAAACATTAGGTCATGAAAAGGTACAAATACATACTTTTCACCTGGGAAAAACTTATTTAAGGTCCACAACTGGACCTTAAAACCATTGTTCTACCGTTAAGGGTACATTTATATTGTTTGTGCTTTGATGAAAGAAAAATGGGTAACACTTTATTTGAAGGGTGTCTACATAACACATTCATATCACCTTACATAAACACTTCATAACATGTTCATGAATGCTTAAATCAACATTTGTAAACTATACTGTATATTGTAGCTAACTAAACTATATGTTTTACATGATATCAATATGGACTACAAAGTCATTTTACCAAAAGATGTTTTTTAAAATAAAAGTCTTTATATTTTATTTTGAATAACTTTATTATTTTCAGTGAAATTCCTTATTTCTGGACTGCCAGCATAAAAACGACCTGGCTTTATCACTTTGGACAGAAAGAGCTTTGACACTTTTTACTTAGACTTTCAACTTTTTTTAAATTAGGTCCTCAAGCATTTGTATTTTGCACTATGCTATTCTTTCTGAAAATGTTATTTAAACTAAGTTTAACTTTCTTGGGGTAAATGCTAACACTGTTATCCCAATTACTTTGGACATTTTTTTTGTGATGTTCTTCCTCACTTACGGTTTTGGAGAAGGCACATGTATAACTGTGCATTGGTTATCATGTGTAACTGACACTTTAAATGTTAAAGTGTGACACACACTAAAATCCCAAGGAATAGTTCCTTTTTTGCATTACTTCAAAGTACAATCGAGTGGTGGCTCTTTGACTTTCCTCACTCAGGGTGCTGATAATTTTGTAAGAAATATTCTTTATAAATTTGCATTGCTTTGCCTTCACCACAAAAGTGATGGAAGCCACGTTACCCTGACTAAAGTGCATGTTACATGCATGGACCTGTCCCACCACCACACAAAGTTTGAGACTTTAAGTTGATTGACTGTTCATAGCATATTTATGAGTTATTCACTGTCCATGTAGTAAAGTGACATGCAAAGCAACATTCATAAGTGATTCATAGCATTTTTAGGAGTGTATAAATAGTGATAGTGATTTACAATTAAACATCTATAAGTATTTTCCCTACCTTTGCAGCAAGACCCAACGACTGTGAAAAGGAGTCAATAAACACCACAAGTAGGAAGGTCCTTTTTTATTGGCAAGACCAATGTTCAGAACAGGCACTTAAACATGCTGCTCAAACTCAAATCAGGAAACGTTAAACTCTTCTGAAAATGGAACTGCAAAATACAGATATGTTTGCTAAAATCTTCAGTTTTTTCTAAAACAAAAATAAAAACACACCACCTCACGTGGCCATTAATTAAAGGGTATTGCCTTCACTTTGTTCCTTTTCTTCTTAGACTGATTTTTTTTTTAATTCTCTAAAATGTATATATATATATATGAAAAAATAAACAAAATGCACAAATAAACTAAATAAACAAATATCCAAATTATCGACATTCGTCTTAAATCTTTCCTTTCGCTTTTTTGTTAGCTAACTTACTAGCTGGGCAAGACTGTTGACTGTTCTGCTGTGACCAGCAGTCTGCACGCCTGCAGGGTTAAAGGGTAAATTAGCAGATATAGGCTATATTAACTCCAGTGTTTAAGACCGTTTATTGTTGAAACTGTGTTGAACAATCAGCAGAGTTTTATTTTACTGTAAAGGAGGATTTTGTCACGCTTCCTGCCACTCATCAGATGGAGCTAGTTCCCTCGCTCACATGTTCTGACACAAACTCCATTTCCCAGACTCCTCAGCAAAGTCACATGACTCCGGAGAGATCCTCATCCTCCAATCAGCGTTCAAGTTCGCCGGAATACTAATGCTTTGCAGCTGTTTTAGATAATATTTAAGCCCAGGCTTTAGTTAGAATCTTTGCGAGGTATTGCTTTCTTTATGAAACTACTGAGCATTTTCTTTGATTGTTTTCCTGGTTATGACTTTATTCTTCTCATGTTCTCTGACTCTGTTTTTGGATTTGCCCTTTTGTACTTCTGCCTGGTTATTCGGATTGGTGATTTTGACCCTTTGCTTGTTTTGTGGACTTCAAACTGTTTTGCCCTTGTTTGTCATGGTAGCCATTCTCATCTTGCTGTGGTTTTTGGAACTGACCCATGCTCGTTATTTGACTATGGTGTGCATCCTTGATTCCCCAAGTAAAGCTTCCTTTTTGTCTTTAAACCGCGAGCTTCTGCTTTCTGTTCCAACATTACAGATTTTTATTTATTTATTTATTTTTTTTTACCTACAAATCTAATTTTGCTGTGGAGCCTGCAGTAAAAGAGCCGCAAGCGGCTTTGGAGCCGATGTGTTGCCAACCTCTGAGTTAGTGTCATCACTTAACTGGGAAAAATATTGGTTAATGGTTAAGGACTTACAGCAGTTATGTTTTGTAATAAACATCGATTAATACTAGGTTTTGTTTTGTTTCTGCTAAAATATTTTTTCTATAATAAACCATTCCCTAGTGAAGACCAACATGTGACCCAAATGTGAAAGTTGCCCAGGAGTAACAAGGCAGTGGGTTGTGTTTTTATTTTCATCTTATTATCCTCTTATTTCTCTTAAAAATATTTAAATATGTATGGAGTACAGTTAAATCTACACTTACAGTTTAATAGTTTAATGTCTATTAAGAGAAAACTGATGCCAGTTACAAATACATTATTGCAATTAATACTAAAGAAAATATATTCTTCAGGTATTCATTGGTTATCACTATCATCCTTTAGATTCATGATACATGCACTGTTATTCACTGTTATGCTGTAATTATACTGTTATTACACTGTAACTACAGAATACAAACAGCATTCTACAAGCATTGTTGTAATTGATGAGGCAAAACTAAGAAATTTGCCTTATATTTTTAATCATTGCTAATATACGAACATACTAGTTTGTGAAACCTGATACTAAAAGAGCAAAACCTCAGTGCAGCTCTGCACAACTGTAAGCTCATTCTGAGCCTCACACTTTTAGCACATGAACCACTTTTAGCACATGAACCACTGAACACACTTCTCTACATTAGACACAGGACTCTAATATGATGTCACTTCTTTGCCATCTCAAGGCACCGCTTTTCATAAAACATACCTGTGAACCAACTGATCAAAAATAGCCATCAGTTGTACAAAGGGGTAATTTTAATCACCATCATGAAAAAGGTAACTAGTGAGTTTTAATGTTTTTATTTGCTTTATTTTTGTCTCCACAAATGTTTTTGCTGTGGTTGTGTAATATATTCTATGTAGAAAATGTTCTGTTCTGAATTTCAGTGCAAGATGCCACCTTTTGAAATGCATGGATGTACTGACTGATGTTACAATGTGGAGAGGAATAAATTTGTTCATCAGTGTGCAGGGTTGGGATGTAATGGAATACAAGTATCGGGAATGCATATTTAGAATACAGAAGTATTTGTATTCAGTCCAAATTACATTTTGTAAAGGCAGTATTCAGAATACACTTTGTACACTTTTAGGAGCATATTTAGAACACATTTTCACTGGGTAAAAAAAAAAAAAAATCAAAAGAAACCATTGATGCTTGTTTTTAAATCAGCATACTGTGCGTAACAAACATGCATGTTAGATGAACATCTAAGAGGACCTATTTAACAGTTTCTGGATATTCTGGCTAAAGCCTGAGTAGACTGATAAATCAATGTGATGATCAGTTATTAAACTCAGTGTTACTGAGCTCTGCTAAAGCCTGAGTAGACTGATAAATCAATATGATGAGTGAATTATTAATCTCAGCATTACTGAGCTGTGCTTTATTATTTAATATTTTGTTTTTATTACAGCTTCTATTTTTGGGATGCTTTCAATTCCATTTCTTGCTCAAAGTTTTTCAAAAAACAATCTGCACTTTTTTTCTATACCTTCAAAATTTAGTGTTGGACATTTGACGCATTTTCTGCTTTAACAATCTCAACAACGAATTTAGATTCATCAGTTCAGAAATTTCACATCTCACACATCCAGTTTAAGTACTCTAGTACAATATTTTTTCTTTTAAATCATTTAGCCGTCTCTTACTGTAATCACATCGAAATTACATCTTCTAAATAATCAGTAATTTTTCTTCTTTGTGTTTTGATTCTAAAAAGCTCTGAAAAGGATTCTTCAATAC